CCACACACACCCGTTTCCAACCCCATAATTTACATTGCCGACGTTCTTCATCTCCTCAGACTAGGCAGGACTGTCCGCTGTGTTCTGGACAGAGATGATGACATGATCGTGACAGGCAACAGACACCCCTACCTGGGACAATACACAGTGAGTCTGTAGTCGCTGCACCACAATTTGTCGATTTTGAGGAGAAGCGGGCCAACTCAGATTTCGGGGGTTTCACCAAGAGTGGGCATTGCCCTACCTGTAGGAGAAGTTTGATTTAACTGGTGTTTACATTTGTTTGGTTATAGAGAAAAACTCTTCTTGTCTTATTGACCAAAGGGCAAAAACTTTACCTTCGATTTTCTCAAAACAGCATTTTGCAGGATAGTCCCCTTGTACTTAAAAAGCGACCAACTACAAAGTTCTATCTGCTCAGCACCTAGTTGTGAGAAATTTGACCTAAAAAGGTTTGTTTCATAATATTTCAAGCTTTTTCAAAAGCAATTCTTTGAATATTTCGATAACGACTTAGAATAATTTTACGATTTTGATAGAGCAGATAGAGCACCTGATTTCTGATCTCACTGTCTTAGTAACTCATAACGGCCAAAAATGTCATTGCGTGTGTGTGTTTGTTTGTGTGTGTATATGTGTGTATGTATGTGTGTGTGTGTGTGTGTGTGTGTGTGTGTGTGTGTGTGTGTGTGAGAGAGTGTGTGCTTTCAAGGCCACGAGTCGGGCAATCAAGTTGTATTAGAGAACCGATCCCCTAACAGGAACTGGGGTGTTAAAATATCAGTATTTACGAATGACCGCTTCTCCCTGAACTAGAGATACAATGATCACTGATCTGCTTGCCTTTTAAAAGATAAGATAAGATAAGATACGGCTTTATTGTCAAGATCCTGTATCTTGTCTTATCTTATCGTATCTTATGTCCTTGTCAGGTTGGCTTCTCGGCCGAAGGAGAGATCACAGCTCTGAAACTGGACATTTACAGCAACGGCGGGAACAGTTTGGACAGCTCAAGAGGTGTACGTGGAAACTTTAAAATAATAATTTGTGATGTAGTCTTTGTTTTGTTTGCCCTTCCAATGGTTATTTGTGTGTGTGTGTGTGCGTCCGTACACACACAGTGGCGTCCGTACACACACAGTGGCGTCCGTACACACACAGTGGCGTCCAAAAGATACTTGAAAATGTATTCACCCCTAGACATGTGTCTGTTAGAGCAAGTTCGACTCTACACTTCCGTGCTCTTCTCTCTCTCTCTCTCTCTCC